GAGAGAGAGAGAGAAATAGCGTGCGCATATCGATTTACAAACAGATTATGAAATATCGTTAAATATACATTTATTCTTTATTTGAGAAGCTCTAAGAACCATTTATTATCTATCGATCGTATTGTACTTTTATTGGCAATAAAGGATTATGCATAATGGCATCCGTTTCTAACTGCAAATGAAATCACGTGACCAGAACGCATATATGCAAGCATTACTTTTATCAATTAGAAATAACACGAAATTGCAAATTAGTTTTTTTTCTTTTTCTTCTTTTTTTTTCGCGAAATATATGCAAATAAGAGGAGTAAATTTTCTTTTCTTTTTTTTTTTTTTTTTTTTTTTTTTTTTCGTTGAAATATATGCAAATAAGAGGAGTAAGTTTTTTTCTTCTTCATCGTTTACAATAATTCTCTCTCGTAATTTATTACCATTTTTACGCATAATCGTGCACGACATTTCTTCCCCCCCCCCTTTTTGTTAGAAATAATAATATTTAAAGTTTTTTACTTTCTCCATTTAACACAATAAACTTTTTATATATACGTAGCAGTAAATCAAGAAGAATTTTATATTTCGTTGTGTAAAACGAAATCCAGGTGACGGAAAAGTAGAGGTAAAAATTAATTCGATTTCCTTGTTTGTTATTATTTTTAACATTTAGCCACAAACCTAACCTCAAATCAATTTTTGTCCGTAGAGATGTGTAGCAGGCCAGGAAGGAGACCAAGTTTTTTCACCTTCACGGAGGATCGAGAATGATTTAAAATCATCAGTGTACGATTGATTGGTCAAAATAACAAAGAAGAAAATGATGCGATGATTAAATTAAACGAAGGATGAGTTCGAGTTAATCGATGAACGAAAACAGACACCGATTTAATTTACTCTTTCTCCATCTCTCTCTCTGGGATTGTTCCCACGGAACAGCGCTGCTATGCTGAATGAATAATGTTCTTGCAAGACGGTTTGTCAAAAAAAGAAAGAAAAAGCGTCATCAGGAAACAGAGGTAATGTCTCGCTCTTTTTCTACGCAACACAATGAATCATGCTCACGCCACGAATATGCAAAACGTGAAAAAAAAGGAAATCGAATCACGATCTACATCTTTCGAAAATTTCGCAATTGGAAATGCATCAAAATAATAAATGATTCCCTCCCGTAATTTCTATTTCTCGATCAGGCGAGGGATTGTTAAAAAAAATTCAAAATTTAATTTATACGATAATTCGCGACACACGTGATTCCAGTTCAAAGCCGTTCCTCTATACTTTTTATTTGAACAAGTCGCGCGATCAGTTACTGCGAAAGCAATTATCGATTATCCGCAGGTAATTTTCCATTAACCGAAGGCATCGACGAAAAAAGCAATTTGAAAGGAAGCGTAGACAGACGAAACACTCTTTTCGAGAATCCGTTATTATAAATACACGAGACGACGATTCAATATCAAGTGAAATTATCAAATGAAAATGCGCATCCAATGAAATGAGTTTGAGTGAGTTTCGAGGGATGATCAAAGCGAGACGGCATCGCCCTCTTTTGAGCGCTGTGGGATAAATTGGCGGGCGACGACTAATCGTGGCGTGACTAATCGGTGCACATTGCAAAGATCCTTTTCCTGTTCGACTATCGGCCGTGCTTCAACGGATTATATTGCAAATAGTGAGAAAACAATTCTCGAATGGCGAACTCGTTTGCGATGATTTTGAAGAATAAAAATTGAAATCAAAATAAAATGATTGATGTTCACGGTTGTAAGGTTAGGTAGCTCGAGTGAAATATTTCGATGTATCTACGATGTGAATACGTTGAAGGAAAGCTTATTCTTTTCTTTTCATTGAGTTTTTTAAACGGAATTATCCACGTCATGTGGCAACATCCGGGCATACGGTCTCGATTAAAATGCGTTCTTGAAAACAAGTTCATGCACTCGCGTGAATAATAACGGTAGCGTTAATGATATCGTCTGTCTATGAAAATTCAAATATATTTAACGTTTATACACTCTCTCCTATTCATAATTTTGCAATTTACTTAATCACAATGGAGCAGGAATAATCCACTGTTTTCTTGTGAAACACTATTTTTATTAATTTGAAATATTAACAAACAATAGATGTGCGTGGCGAATAGGCAAATATTTGTTTCTCTATTAAATCCTGAAATATCATTTTATGACGGTATGACATTAACATACGGCATTGGTATAATTTTAGCATAGGGCAAATAATAAAACAATGAATAAATTTCTTGCTGGATTATAGTGATTTGTAAATATCTTTTTTCCTTCTTCTTCTTCTTTCTTATTATTCTTCTAGGAAATTAAATAAATACACCTGGAATATACAGGAATTCGGTAAGCGAAGTAGAGGGGGGACGTATCTCTCATCTCTACGTGCTATCGATCACGTTTATTCCGAAACGGTTTCTTTTCAGCTCTTTTAAAGTTTTTACTTTTTCTTTCGCGTATATATATATATATATATATATATATATATTTGTAGACAG